AAATGGATTCAAGATGCTGGTTGAAGGAAGAAAGTCTGATGGACAGAGCTCAAGTCAACCTGCTCAACCCAGACTAGATGCGAAGGGAGAGATTCCAGGGGATAGGGACACTCATACTCCTCAAACATGTTAATAGTTGCTTGGAATGTGAGGGGGTTCAATAAGGTGTTCAAGCACAAGGAGATGAAGGTGTTTTTAAAGAAGTATAAAGTTAGTTTAATAGCAATTAGTGAGCATAAAGTTCAAGACAATAAAGCAGATATAATTATTAATAAGGTCATGCCAAACTGGAAGTGGTGTACCAATGCAGGCCATTGGTCAAGAGGTAGAATATGGGCTTTCTGGAATCCGGATGATATTCAGTTCACTGTTCTGGATACATCACTACAAGGTGATTCATGGCCTAGTGAAGACAAAGACAAGGGAGTTTCACTTCTCAGCTATCTACGGGTTGCACACGATACATGCTAGGGGTGAGTTGTGGAGTAAACTAAGAAGTTTGGATGCACAAATGACAATTCCATGGTTGATCATGGGGGATTTTAATTCTATATTGTATACTGAGGATAGAAGCCATGGCAGTGAAGTACAAGAACATGAAACCAAGGACTTCAAAGAATTCATAGAAGATTGCAGGATGAATGAATTGCCAACTGTAGGAAGGACATATACATGGACTAATAACCACGTGTATAGTAGGATTGATCGAACTATTGTAAATGCTGCTTGGATGGTCAACATGCCTCCATTACAGGTTCAGATAATGGACCCTCACTTCTCAGACCATTCTCCATTGAGCAACAAATAGAAGCATTACCTAAGACTGGGAAAAAACCATTCAAGTTCTTTAGCTACTTAGCTGAACATCCATACTTTGGAAAGATAGTACAGGAGAATTGGGCCTTGACTGATGGGAAGATGGCTAGGATATGGCTGAATCTAAAGGCAATCAGAAAAGCAATGAAGAAGCTAAATAACAGAACAAATGTTACTGAGATGATACACAAGATCAGAGTTGAACTGATAGACCTGCAGAGCCAAATGAGGGATACTAATGTGAGTACAGAGCACTTTGAGAAGGAAAAAAGTCTCAAAATGCAACTTGAAAAATGGAGCCTCATTGAAGAAAGCATATATAAGCAGAAATCAAGGGTGCAGAACATCAAACTGGGGGATTCAATCACTGCATATTTCTTTGCCAGTATGAAAGGAAGGAAGGCGCAGAATCAAATCAGAATGCTTACAGCAAAAAATGGAAAAATGATCAATAATACTGAGGAGATACAGAAGGAAATTTTAATAATGGGTTTCTATAAACGGTTGTTGGGTTTAGCCTCTGAAAACTTGCCAGCAATACACCCTGGTGTTCTACAACATGGGACCAGACTTAACAGGAGCCAGCAACTTCAGCTCATAAAACCATTCACTAAGGAAGATGTATTGCGAGCTCTAAAAGGAATATATAACATTAAGGCACTTGAAGGAGATGAATTTAACTCATACTTCTTTGAGAAGGCATGGCCTACTATAGGAGATGATGTAACTGAGGCAGTATTGGACTACTTTGAAACAGGTACTCTATACCAGCCTAAAAATACTACCTCGGTTACCTTGATCCCTAAAGTGAAAAACCCTTCCTCAATTAAGGAATACATGCCTATTTCCTGTGTTGCACTACTCTGTACAAAATTGTGCCAAAAATGATTACTAGTAGATTGCAAACTGTGATAGAGATTCTAGTTGATGATAGCCAGGCTGCTTTTGTGCCTGGTAGAATGTTGGCTGACAATGTGGTGCTCAGTCATGAATTGGTTAAAGGATATGGAAAGAAAGGAGTATCAGCAAATGCATGCTGAAAATAGACATGCAGAAGGCATATGACTCTATAGAATGAGTAATTCTTGAACAGATGCTAACCGGACTGGGGTTCCCTAAGAAGTTTGTAGGATGGATCATGGGTTGTGTAAAAACAGTATCATATTCCATAATCATTAATGGAAGTGAGGCAAGGAGATCCAATGTCTCCATTTGTACTGACAATGGAGTACTTGACTAGATTGTTGAAAACCCTGAAAAAGAAGCCAGATTTTAACTTCCACCCTAGATGTGAAAGGCTACACATAGTGCAACTTAGCTTTGCAGATGATTTGCTTCTTTTTTGTAGGGGTGATGAAATCAGTAAAGATGCTATATAGATGCTTTCAACAATTCTCTGAGGTATCCGGACTCATTGCAAATCAGTCTTAAAGCAGCCTTTACTTTGGAGGAGTATCACTGGAAACCCAACAAGAAATCATCCAAGCCTTGGGATTCTCTGTTGGTTCCCTACCCTTTAGGTACCTTGGAGTCCCTTTAAGCTCTAAAAAGCTTACAGTTGGGCAATGCCAACCTCTGATAGACAAGATGCTAGGAAGGGTAACCAGTTGGACTACCAAATTTTTGTTATATGCAAGGAGATTATAGCTAATCAAAAGTGTGTTAACTGTTGTGCAATCATTCTGGGCTCAAATTTTCCCTTGCCCAAAGTGCTACATAAAATTGACACAACATGTAGAAAGTTTCTCTGGACAGGGGAGGTAGATACAAAGAAGAAAGCTATGGTGGCGTGGGAAAAATTATGCCTTCCAAAGTCTGCAGGTGGCCTAAATGTTACAGATATGCTCATATGGAATAAGGTTGCTCTTCTAAAACACCTCTGGAACATCTGTAAAAAGAAGGAAAGACTGTGGATTTTGTGGATTCATAAGTACTATATACAAGGGAAGGTGCCTTGGGAAATAAAAGGAAGTCAAGCTTCTTGGATAACTAAGAAGGTGCCACAAGCTGCAAAGTATTTGAGTAAAGCAGGGATCAACAAAAGAAAGGTTCTACATGTTGAAAACTATTCTATAAGGGAGGTGTATAACAAGCTTCGTGGTGATTTTCCTAAAGTAACCTGGAGGCGACTTACATGTAACAACCAAGGATGTCCAAAATGGTTGTTCATCTTGCATCTTGCAATCCAGAGCAGACTGTATACCAGAGATAGACTGAGAAATGTGGTGTCATAACTTGTCGAACATGCTCATTAAGTGAAGCTGCTCTAGAAAACCACCAGCACCTATTTTTTGAATGCATATACTCAGCAACTAGTAATCGTACACGCGCGATGCGCGGTCAATATTAAAAAAATATTAACTAAATTATAATCGGGCTTGTTTGATCCTATTAGACCGTATTGCTTTAATAAATTTCAATTGTCATCTTATTTGTCAATACGATATACCCAACCCTCACCGATGTTTGAGTAGTTAATTTCTTTGTTAATTTTTAATAAATAATTTTTTTGTTATTAACTAATTATGCCATGTGCCTTTTTTCTAGGCTACCACTTGGATTAATGTGGGGCCTTTTTCCTTGGCTTTTAATAATATATAGATAGATTATTAGCATATTACTTGTTTAATATTTTTGTTTGCTATTTGTAATATAATAGAAGATATATATTTTATTACTCTTGAAAATATATATTTTTTATTTTAAATTTTATTATATTTTTCTCAATAATATTATTTGAATTTTAATGAATAGATATACTTTTTATTTCAAAAAATAAAAAAGAAAATGATTTAAAAAATGAAATAAAGAAATTAACTAACATAAACCAACCCTCACCCATGTTTTAGTAGTTAATTTAGGTAGTTAATTTCTTTGTTAATTTTCAATAGATAATTTCTTTGTTGTAACTAATTATTCCATAAGGTTTTTTTCTAGGCTACCACTTGGCTTAAGGAGAGGGCTTTATCCTCTCCTTTTAATAATATACAAAGATATATAGAATATAGAATATTAGAAAGAAACTACTCCACAATTTGAATCAAAAGTTTTTTATTGCTTTATTTTTGTTTTTTTATTTTAAAATAATTATAAAACTCCAACTTGAAACTGCTCCCCAATTTGAAATTGTAATTTTTTATTTTAAAACTCCAACTTGAAACTACTCCTCGATTTGAATGAGTAGTTTTTCTTCTTCTTTTTTCGTTTTTTTATTATAGTTAATTTTTTTTTATTTTAAAATAATTTTAAAACTCCAACTTGAAACTACTCCCACCCAATTTGAATGGGTAGTTATTTTTTATATATTTATATTTTTAATTTTTTTATTATAATTAATTATAAGATATCTATATTTATTAATTAAAATAAAGTAACCAATATATATATATGTGGTAGTTTTTAAATTTTTATTATTTTCGTTTTTTATAGATATTTAAATTCAAATATAATAACTAATAATTAATTATTAACTAAAAAACTAATTATGCCATGTGGCTTTTTTTTATGCTGCCACTTGGCTTATGGAGAGGGTTTTATCCTCTCCTTTTAATAATATATAGATAGACCGTGCGGCAGAAGCTACTTTTATGGCAAGGGATAATCAGGCAAGTACGGGGATGGGAAGATGAGATTTCTTGGGCCATTACACACACAAATGGGAGGCATGCCCAAGCAGAGATTTATAGGACTACCTTATCAGCTGCTGTATATCATATTTGGATGGAAAGGAATTACAGAATTTTTCGCATAAGAAGAGAAGCAGTATAGATGTTACGAGGATGATTATTTAAGAAATACATTGTAGAGGAAGTATGAAGCCAAGACTGTATAGAACACTGAATAGATTGATCTTCTACCCCTAGTATTGGCCATGTAACTAGAAATGAGAGGTGGTGAGATGAGATACTTGAAGTTTGGGGCCGTCTGTCCAAATTCAGGATTGAGATACTAGTTGTAAATAGATACTTTAGTAAATAATAAAAGTTAATTACCAAAAGAAAAATATTGGTGTAACTGAAGTACTGAACTGATGAAGAAACAAAAGAAGAGATAGAATGTCATTTATCACTACCCTATCAAAGGCAAAGTTAATAACTGTTCTGTTAGAACCCCAATCATCTCTTCACTTGGTAAAATCAAGGAAACGCTCTTCGAGTGAAATAGAGTAAATTATAATCTATCCATAACGAAACTGTGAGATTTGAAACGCAAAGTTCAAATCTTTAAGAAAAATTAAAACAGAAAAGACTTTTTTAGCTACAAAACTGTTAGGTGCCACTGTACAGAAAAAACTATGTAGTACATTAAGTGGAATGGAATAAAACACTTTTGAGTGGTGATAAAATTGCTCTTCAATTAATCATGAAAAGCTTGTTTTCCATCTAGCTCTAACCAAGAAACCAGAGGGCCTCAGCAGGACAGAGAAGAAATATTTGCAAGTTAAAAGAGTTTCATGGCTCAACAGGGAACACTTTCTCCAAGAAATTGATGAAACGTTTCGAGTAAAGCTTGGGTTCAATTACAGAGACCGACATAGGATCAAATTGCAACGCTTTGTAGGTATGCTCCAATTTCTTTTTCATGTTGTATTCCTGCAGTATATCAATTATTCCCAGATATAGAACAACATCATATACCTCAAAAAGCTCAACTTGTACTGAAGCTGTCTCATCCTGCATGAGCTTTTGGTTTGCTTGGGCTGGCATGTTTACACCTAATTGTACCCTTAACCTGAAAAAACTGAAAGCTGTTAGACATTAAGTGAATTCAGCTTGACAGCAAATAACATGACAATGGCTCTTCTACTTTTTCCTGAATGAAACTGATGAAGGTCCATGAGAAAACATGGCATCCTTGGTAAATTTTTTTCACTCGATCACCCCAAAATGTAGTGCATTTTTACTAGGACACTTGGGATTCAAAGATCAAAGTAAACAAAGAGTAGAACATTTTTTGAGCATTTTTCACTCGATCACACCAAACATGGCATGCTTGGAAAAAGCCGGTCATCCCTGCCTGTCTTTCGTTCCTTTCTACACTTTTTTGATAGAACCGTTTTTTTTCTACATTTAATTTGAGGTGTTTTGCAACATTTCTTTAGGCACACGATAATTCCTTTATCAATCATATCAATAGGATAAATCCTAGCATCATAATGCAGCATGGTGCGAAACCAACACGGTGGTTTCCTTGAAGTCAGAATTCCGCTATGCAGTACGAGCTAGCCAGCAAGACCGACAGTCACATAGCCCATCTGCTGCTCTTCTTTCTATTCTCCATCACTTACCCTGAATAAATAGAATGACTAAAAATTCAAAGAAAGGTTTTGAGGTCCGACTCCTTCCTCTATAATTTCTTGTTGCATGGTTTTTTATTTTATTGACTTTCCCAGAGATTATAATATGGTCTTCTCTCTTCTTTCCCCATTATGCCATCATCCCTCTTGCTCTTCGTATTTTTTATCTTAACCTACCCTGCGTTCCTGACTTGCTGTATTTTTTCCAATCATTTGTCTACCTTTCTCTCTGTACATTTCCCTGTCTTCTTGTTTCTAACATTCAACTGCATCTTAAAACTTTCATGGGGGATTTTTTCCGTATCTCGTATTACTGACCTTTTCCATTTCTAGACAAGTAACATAAAAATTCTCAAGAATTTCTCTGCTTATCTCTATCTTCTTCCTAAGAAATCTGTTTGGGTTTCTCTCATTCTTTTATCTGTTCGAACTTCTCTCAGAAAACCCTACTGCTTGTAAATTGTGTTTTAGTTAGATGACAGTCCACTACTTTTGAGAAGGCTAAAGTAAATGCATGCTTATCGAAAAAACTGTTGTCAGCGTACTTCTGATGATGGAAACGCATTTGTGTCAGCTCTAAACAGAGGATAAGAAGCAGATCAGGTTACCTTCCAGTACCCGGGACAAGAAGATCAACCTCCTTGTCACCAACGGACATGGCTCTAAGAGTACTTCCTCTTATATGAGGACCTGGTGTAGTGCTGACAGAACTGGGTTCATGAGTTACCAAAATCAAACCCCTTGGTGGAATTGAGAGCTCCCCCTGAGATATCCCACCTTAATTGAGTGAAACAAGAAGTCAATGAGCATTAGTGTAACGAGAAAAGAATTAGATGTCATAAAGCATATAGAAGGAAGATTTCAAAAGAATAATCACCATTGTCGCTGATGCCTGACCTCTCAAGACAAAAAGATAAACAAATAAGAAACGACATGCATGAAAAGAGGACAAATATTGAGTGCAATAAGAAGACAGTGTAGAGAAAAGAAAAAGATGTTCTCAAGCATAAAAAAGGAAGATTTCAGAATGAAGCTAATAACCACCGTCGCTGACCCCAGCCCCTCAAGATAAATAATAAACAAATAAATGAGAAACAACATGCGTGAAAAGAGGGAAAATAGGAACTGATCCAGAGAATAGAGTAGCAACAATTCCTACAGGCTTGCTAATGCACTGTTACGGAAGTTTTAGAACGCAAGAAGTGAAGCTTCCTAAGTAACGCCAGAAGTACGACTATTTTAAGTGATCTGGCCATTTACAAGATAACAGAAGTCTATTTGCAGGAGCCTTGGGGGCATGCTCGTCGAGTTGAATGGAGCCCCCTCCATAAGAAAGGATATGGGTGATAGAAAAAAAGTAGAATACATAATTTACCCCCAGAACTGTGGACCAAATCCCTCTGACACACTTTTTTTCTTTTTTTTGAGAAAGGTAACATGAATATCCATCAGTGCCAAATTGGCACTTGGCTGTCATACTCATATTTACAAATACAAAAGGCCTTTTTTTCATCTTACAAGGCTTCAAAAATTCAAAAAAGTTTCTACATCCTCTACATAATTCTCTTTACACCAGAAGAAAAAGGACAAAAAAAGCATTTCGTCTTGATTTTCTGTATAGAGCAAGAATTGTCTTGAAAACACCTAACGTTCCGTTCTTGCCATACAGTCCACCAAATGCATGGAGGAACCATATTCCACCATTTCTTCTGTCTGATACTACCTGCTGCATTCCAGCTCCCAACATATCCTTTGTATCTCTAGGCATTACAAATTTGAACCCAGCCAAGGACAAAAACAACCTTTCCTTTTGACCACGGGAATCATTTTACACACTCAACCTTTCTAAATTGTCGCTAAGACACACCTCTTTGGTGTTTGACCACATTCCCCCAACAAGTGTGTTTCACGCACCAATCATGTTGTGACATGTGTTTTTTGTTAAAAGAGAAACCACTTAAAAGATACTTTATGTTATGCCTAGAAAAAATAGAGAGGTACAACCAAACTTAATGACCACAAAAGGACGGTGACGTGTTAATCTTAAAATGTATTAACCTTATTCCCGTATTATAGCAATTAACAATCAAGAAAGGAAAAGAGAACACACTGGAATCAGAAATACTGTTCAGCTTGAGGTAACACCATAATAAAGATTAAACCAAACAATAAGCTTAGGAAGAAAAGATTTTACCTTCATGCTCAGGATTAGTTTCTACATTGTCTAGAGAATCAGGTGGCTGTAAAAGAGATATCAGATTCTCAGGAGCTCTAAAATGTAACCCCAATAGAAGGCTATAGTCTATAATGTTCTGAGATTCTAAAAATCTGCAGTCCAAAGATAATTGTCTGCGAAAAGAAAAAGAGAGCGCTTTACTAAACCAAAAATATAGTAATAATAACAATAACAATAATAATGAGAGAGAGAGAGAGAGAGAAAGAGAACTATAGTTAATAAAAGGACAACCTGAGAGTGTTGAACTTTCTGTAACCAACAAAATAGGAATTAAGGAAAAGAAATGAACGGTCCTAAATAAAATTATCCACAGCATTCACTATAACCACAAAAGGAAGAAAGAAAAAGAAAAAGATAAGATAAATTAGGACATGTATAAGACACTTGCTAGGAGCCAGAAATTCTTTTTTCTTTTAGATCATACTAATAAAAGTAACTGGTCATTCGAGAATTGCGTAATCATGAAGTTTATCATGACACCATATACTATTACAGCAAAGTTCTCCACCTTTGGCATTAAAGTAATCAAATTGAGATCCATCTTAAGCACACAGCCAATGACAATTTTTGAAGCTACGAGGCACGAGCAACAAGATTAAAAAACTTACAACAGCTCTCTCTCTCTCTCTCTCCACACCCACACAACATATATATATATATATGTATGTGTGTGTGTGTGTGTACGCAAGCTAGTGCACACACACATAGAGACGTATATATATAAGGCATGTTGCATAATTTCTGACGTTTGTATATTTAGTTTTAAACATACTCAAGGCAACAACATATTTGGGTACCTGTAGATATTCAATCAATCAACTACTGCCTCAATCCCAGTGGCGTAGCCAGATATTTCGCTAAGGGTGTTCAAACTTTGAATAAATAAAAATAAAAATTCCTATGAGTGAGTGCACCGACATTTTTTTTCAATGAGTGAGTACACTGAACAATATTTTATTTTTTTAAATCGAGATTCATTTACAAGTAGTCAATCATTTGCACGGTAAAACTAACGTGTCTTGTGGAAAAAAAAAAGGGAAGGTACCAAACAAAGAAGTTAAGCTTAAACAAGTCAATATTTATCGAGTTTCAGACTGTGCGTTACTAATACTAGGAGATTTCTCGATTACTAAAAAAAAAAGTGACTCATTATTAGTAGTATAGTTTTTTTCAAATTATATATTACCGAAATCACTTTTTTACTTACTACCATGAAATTTAAATTTGCAGCCTAAAATTATTTTATAACTCACCTTGATATTTTCCTTTTTTATTTTTACTGTAAGAGAAAGCAAGAATAGAGAAAGGGTAGAGAGCGAAGAGAGAGAAAGAAAAAGGGAGAGAGACACTCGGAAATTTGTCAACGAGGGGGTGGGATCAAAATTCAAACATTTTGGTATGTACTTCCCTTTGATTTTTTACTGAAAAGGAAATTAAAGTTGTAGCTCATTTTGAAGAGGAGAGAGAGATAAACGTTTCTGGGTCAAACATTTTTTAGTCTATTTTTGAAAAGGAGAGAAAGTTCCCATTTGCTTGTTCCCTAAAAAGAGATTTTAAAAAAGGAGTAAATAAATGTAGCAGTTGAAGGGAAGCCTTGAAACAATGGTAAAGTTGTCTCCGTGTGACCTATAGGTTACCGGTTTGAGCCATTGATGCACGCATCAGGGTAGGCTGCCTACATCACACCCCTTGGGGTACGGCCCTTCCCTGGACCCTCTATGAGTGCGGAATGCTTCGTGCACCAGGCTGCCATTTTTAAATAAATGTAGCAGCTAAGGATCGAACTCCAAACAACCTGGTCGCTTTGCACACCCTTCACCGCTAGACCATCTATGTTAGTTGTTTTAAGGGTGTTCAAGCTTTATTACATATTCCAACAAAATATTTGATGTTTATATACTCTATAATTATCCGGCGACAGGTGCTCAAGCGACCACCCTTATGCCACTGTAGCTCTGCCACTGCTCAATCCCAAATAAAGCTAGAGTTAGCTATAAGAATCCTATGTAACCACTCGGATCTGTTTGGATCAAAATTATTGTTAATACGACTATAAGAAGATTACAGTGACTATGAACCTACTGCAATCCTCCTTCTTAACCTAGCCTATGGGTTGCAAACTAACTGGAGTTTAACTTCAGATATCCAACTTGCGAGAAAAAAATAAAAATCCATCATCCTCAGCAGATTAGTTTTGGTTTACAGTAGTAGTTTCAAATTACTTGCTCCATCTTCAAAAACTTCAGTAGTCAACCATTAAAGAGAAGAGACTACAATGAACCAGAATTTTTAACTCAAATCTGAAGGGGAAAACCAAACAAAGACTTACTTGAAAAGTGCCTCACGTAATAACTTGTCCATATGAAACTCATATTTCAAATCGAGGTCTTTTAATGTCGTCGTCTCATCAATACGATCTTTCTTTGTAAATCTCCCATGAGAAGAACCTTTCAAATCATAACGGCGATGTATTCTTAATTCCGTACAAAACATATTCCCCATGACTACAAAGCGTACCTGAGAATGAAATAGGTGAATACTCGACCTGAATGATGAGAAAAACTCATAGCAGCAAAGTACAGTAGGACTCACGCCTGATCACTAACCTTTTTTCCACGTTTCAATGATATCCTATGCAGCCCAAATACTTTTGTTATGAGTGTGTTGTCATGTTCCTTTACATGCCTATAGTAATCAGGAAGCATCTTGAGTAGAACCTACGTGATGGTAAGAGATCCCTGTTAACAACCTTTCAGTCCACTCTCAGTTTGTAATTGTTTCTGAGCAGAACAAATGGCACAGATTCATGATTACTTATCTCATTTATCAAATTCATCATAAGTACCCCTTCGGCATGGTAGTGAGAAGAAAGAACATACATTAACCAGAATTAGCTGTAGTCTTGGCGGGTAAAAAACACTGTTCACAATTTTTAGCTTCACCACTCATATGACCTACCACACTGTAGAACGTGAAATTTGCACCGAAAACATCAATGATTCTATTATTCGTTATTTATTTCATCTTTTTCCACAGTGGTTTTAATTTTTAAAGGAAACCTTCCATTGCACATATGAGATTAAAAAAAACTTTTACTGATCCCAGTAACCAAGTCAAACTCATTTACAGAAACTGAGATCCACACTTAAGAAATGTTTGATTGAGGTGGTAAAATAGAAGCGGAAGGTCTGGGTTGTCTTCCACATGAACATTTTAAATTTTTCCAACACCGGATAGAACAGAAGAAGCATATCACCTTTTCCCTTTCCTGCTGTACTGAACAACCAGTTGATCGTCAATGCTACCTAGGAAGAGAACAGAAAGTTTTCTCCCACCTTTTCCCTCCCAAAAAACAAACAGAGTATATAGGTGAAACCAAAAAAATGAGTAGGGTGGTCTCCTCCTCCCCCCCCCCCCCCCCCGGGCTCTTTTATTCTTCCTAGTCTATGTAGAGAATTTCTCAGGAGGTAGAATGAAGGAGGACTATGGAATAGGGAAAGAAACAGAAGAAAGGGAACACATGTATTTAAAACAGAAATCATGACCTTGACTTTCCATAAAGAGTTGCATCTAATTTCAATGTAAAGGCAACATCTTGCTTAATTTTGAGTTAGCGTGAAGATCAGTAGGCATGTAAATGTCGGCACAGCAAGGGAAGGAGAAAACCTAAAACAGTTTAGTATGTTTATTTTCTTGTGCAAACCTTGAGCTCAGACTTCTTTAAAGTCTTGATCACAAATCTATCATCCCGAGAAAGATAGAAAAGGCTGCCACTCTTTCCAGGAGACGAAAGCTCTCTCAGACCATCATCACCACAGATGGACATCATATACTCTGNGATAAGAATAGGATAGATTTTATCTGATCTCAACCGTCGAATAGATTTCATCCTAATCTCAACTGTCCGATGGATTTTATCCTAATTCCTATTTTATATTTAAAAAAAATAATATTTACACATTATTCAATGTGTAGACAACTAGTATATATAATAATTTAGCAGATAATAATAGGACAAATTTTATCTTGATCTCAGCCATCGAATGGATTTCATCCTAATCTCAATCGTCCGATGGATTTTATCCTTATTCCTATTTTATCTTTAAAAAATATCTTTACACATTATTCAATATGTAAACAACTAGTAGACATAATAATCTAGTAGATAAGAATATGATAAATTTTAGCTTGATCTCAACCATTGAATGGATTTCATCCTAATCTCAACCATCCGATGGATTTTATTCTTATTTCTATTTTATTTTTAAAAATAAATCTCTACACAGTATTCAATGTGTAGACAACTAGTAGATAGAATAATTTAGTAGATAAGAATAGGATTGGTTTTATCTAGATCTCAACCGTTGAATGGATTTCATCCTAATCTCAACCGTCCGATAAATTTTATCCTTATTCCTATTTTATCTTAAAAAAATATCTACACATTATTCAATGTATATATAACAAGTAGATACAATAATTTGGTAGATAAGAATATGATAGATTTTATTTTGATCTCAACCGTCGAATGGATTTCATCCTAATCTCAACCGTCCGATGAATTTTATCCTTGCTCCTACTTTATCTTTACAAAAGTTATTCCATTCTATAAAAATGAACATAATTTAGGAAAATAATATTGGATTTCTGTCACGATCCCAGTTCACCCACCGTGAACATGTCGTGATGGCGCCTAGTCTCTAGAACTAGGTACGCCTAAAATGCGAAAAACAAAATAACTTGCGGAAAATAATAATTCAACTTGAACAGTTAAAAGAAAATACGGTGTATAGATGCCACTTGGCATATACAATCCCATAACACGGAAGTCTACAATATCATCCCAAAACCCGAAAACTCACGGGAACACAAGCTAATAGAATGAGTACACTACTCTAACTTCAGAATGTCCAAAACAATAGTGTTGGCGTAAGTTCAGTTGAAGTTTTGAAGATTGACAAATGAACTCAGTAATGGACCTGGTCCATCCGGAAAAACACAGTGTTTATCAACCATTGCATATGAGATGCACGTGAGGAAGATATACCGTAGAGATCAAGCAACAATATCTTCTGAACTAAATCGAAAAGATTGCAGTTGGGATAAGGAGAACAGTCTCCTTATGAGGAGAGAACACAATCCTAATCTAGGATAAGGGTTGGAGTTTGTATTGGTCAAGGACTCAAAATCGTCTAAGGATAAGCAATAGAGTCTCAATCAAACTCTAATTACTAACTCAATAAATAACTGAGTTTGTTCTCTTTTACAGGTATTGCACATACGCAGAAGTAAAACATAATTGAGAGCAAAAGAGCAAGTCTGTTTTGAAAGCAATATATGTGAGATATAAGTGTGCACTCCTGAAGCTACTTGAACGAGAGAGAAGAACCAGTTCCATTGTGTTTATTCTTATTCTAGTTCAATTGTAGTAGGAATTTCTGTTTGTACCTTTCAGCTTATTTAGAAGCAATTGTATTAGGTACTTTGAGTATTCAAGTTAGAGTTAACTTGAAAGTGTCGCAACATTTGAGGCTGTGTGCCACACTGGGATTAGAGTTAATCCTTAGGTTTACAAAGAGTTTTTGTAAATGTTGTTTTAGCTCAGTGATTTTAGTGGAAGTTTGGGAAAATCCTACTGAGTAGTAGGTCGTGGTTTTTTCACCTTTTGAGCCAGGTGTTTTCCACGTAAAAATCTCTATGTTCTTTAGTTTATGCATTTATTATTCCGCAAACTGCAATAGTTAGAACACCTAGAAGAACCAGGTTCTTCTAGAGCGAAAATTGGGTACCACACAAATCACCCCCCCTCTTGTGTGGTATTGACGTTTAGAACATCAATTGGTATCAGAGCAGGTTATCCTTGAAGAGGTTAACACCTTAGGAAAGATCAACATGAGTGCACCACCTGGAAACTGGGAAGGGNAAGAAGGACCATATTACACCTTTTACCCTTTTCCCTTCGTCTCGTACTCGAAACAACCAGTTGATCGTCAATGCTACCTAGGAAGAGAACAGAAAGTTTTCTCCCACCTTTTCCCTCCCAAAAAACAAACAGAGTATATAGGTGAAACCAAAAAATGAGTAGGTGGTCTCCTCCTCCCCCCCCCCCCCCCGGGCTCTTTATTCTTCCTAGTCTATGTAGAGAATTTCTCAGGAGGTAGAATGAAGGAGGACTATGGAATAGGGAAAGAAACAGAAGAAAGGGAACACATGTATTTAAAACAGAAATCATGACCTTGACTTTCCATAAAGAGTTGCATCTAATTTCAATGTAAAGGCAACATCTTGCTTAATTTTGAGTTAGCGTGAAGATCAGTAGGCATGTAAATGTCGGCACAGCAAGGGAAGGAGAAAACCTAAAACAGTTTAGTATGTTTATTTTCTTGTGCAAACCTTGAGCTCAGACTTCTTTAAAGTCTTGATCACAAATCTATCATCCCGAGAAAGATAGAAAAGGCTGCCACTCTTTCCAGGAGACGAAAGCTCTCTCAGACCATCATCACCACAGATGGACATCATATACTCTGCCGCATCCAGCTTGAACAACTCTCTCAAATATCTGAACATGACATTTTATATAGTCAGACAAATGACTCAAACTCTACAGTAACTCATATAGAGCAATAAGAACAGAGAAGTCCACTAGAAGTTTTAGGTTATAGGGTGAATGAAAACTACGAATTTGCAAGGGTGGAAAATCCACAGTTCTAACATTTTTAGGCTCTGGAGGAAGGAAATTCAAGACCCATGGCAAAGAATACACTATGCTAAATCATAGCTGAAGAGTCCTGGAAGCAACATTCAGGATGAAATGATCCAGAAAGAGTGAACAGACAGCAGTAGAGCCTTTTAACCATTGAGGGAAAAAATTCATACCAAGAAAATTTTAACCAAACCTTTTTACATGATCTCATCAAATCAAGTAGAATAAGTCCCTAACCCCCTCCTAGCAGTTAAGCAAAGTAGTCAGTTCCCTATAAAAGAACTATTACCGGTTTAATCCAAAATTGTGTTTTGCTCCCATCAGAAGGTCTTCATAGATGGAGTGTATTAAAGAAACAACCAAGTGGCAGATATAAAATAAATGTGCAAGTACCTGAAAACCATAGGGCAATAATCCTTCCAGTAAAAATCGATGGAATGATGTGAAGGTGTAAATTGGGAACCCTTCCTGGGAAAGTACATCTTAATTCTAGCTTGATCTCCAAAATCTGATTGTCTCACTTCACGTATAGGCACAGGAGTGATCTTGCCAACAGAATACCTGTGATTTCTGCCATATTAACAAATAGTTCTACGGTACCAAGTGGATTTTACCCCTCAAATTATCAATTAGAAAGGACATTGATATCCTTACCTGATGCCAAGTTGCAAATTAAGCATCAGATAGTAGCTCTTACGGCCTTCTAGAAAGTACACACATGACCTCCTTTTTACTTCTTTTGCGTGAAACTTAATCCGTTGTTTACTTTTGCGAGATAGCCTACTAATATTTATAATCCTTTCTTTGATTAGGACTCCTTGCGTGTATTCTCTTTCATATGCCACAGAACCAGTTTCCAGAAAATCGCTTTTGTCATCATGAGAGCTTTGAGATAATACACTTGATGAATCACAGGCCAACATGTCTCTGCTGGAATCATCAAGGGAAACGTCTTCTCCCTGTGATGTAGTCCTCAGTGATATGCTCCCTGAACCTTTAAGCAAGAATCTCTCCGAAATACTACGCTTCACTTTAGGTTTCACAGACTCTGAAATAGTTGATGAAGCATGTGGGAGCTGCTTTTTCCTCTTATCATCATGCCTATCACTGGTCTTCCTCAGAAACCGATGCTTACTTCCAGCAGGATAAAACATTCCAAGTCCATCTTTTAGCCCTTTAGTCCACACCCCAAAGTAGTAACTTCCATCTGCAAATCGGTAACAGCCTGACCCATGTCTTAAGCCATTCAACCAAAATCCATCAAAAACATCTCCATCAAACCATTTCATAACACCTCTACCACACATTTTTCCATCTTTCCAGTTCCCAATATACATGTTTCCATTACTCCATGCATATCGACCGCTGCCTTCACGTACTCCCTCTTTCCAACAACCATCATAAACATCAGAATTCTGATACTGCTTTCTTCCTATCCCATGCTGGGTATTCATTCTCCAAACACCTCTGTATAGTGAGCCATCAGACCCGTTAAATATTCCAAAACCATGGAGGTAACCTCCAGAGAAATCACCCTCATATGAAGCTCCAGAAGGCCAAATAAACCGTCCTTCTCCAGTCATTTTTCCTTCTTCCCAACAACCATCATAAACGGATCCATCTGACCAAGTATATTTGCCTTTTCCATGAGGAAGAATCCCCTTGAAACTACCCACATAAGAATCTCCATTTGAGAAGACCTTTTCAGTAATGCTGCATATAGAATTAAGTAATTAAGTACTAATAAAAAACTATGTGGAAGACAGGCATAAAAGTTCAGGCTAAAGAACCAGCATTGCTTATACATGTACGGATAAGGGCTCCAATGTGCAAGTACCTTCCACTGTCCTCCATGGCCTGTCGTAATCACCCGCGATCTGTTCAAAGTTCCTTAATTATAGTCGATGAACCCATCTAAGGAGCTTAGCCGTAAGTGAACTACTCTGGTGAGCAACTTCAGTAATTTTTATACCTTAGTAAGCACATTGCCATGCATTAATAAGAACAATAGCATAAAAAGCATCCAATTCAAGTAGCATAAAGCGCACCTGTACCTCTATCTACTTCACAAATTTAGTTAATAGCAATCATTATTCAGCTGATTTTTCTTTATAAATTAATTTTTTTTGTTATTTGGATAAGCACTCTATAGAGTAAAGGTTTTAGGATAAATAGAATTGAGGCAAATAGATACACTGCAAGTTTAGTCAGTATAAGAAGAGAAGTTGAGGTGAGACCAAACGAGATTGCAATGCCTAAATGCAAAACATTCTAGAAATCTAGGCTTGATTTTCTAAGAGAATGGTATGATAGATGAAGATGTAACATCTAAAATCAAAGTAGCATGGTTGAAATGGAGAACCAGAGTATTTTGCAACAAAAGCATACTTACCTAAGTAAAAGACAAGTCATGTATAACACATTTAAATCTAGAAAGTTTGTGATGTTTGGATCACATTGTTAATAGTAAGGATACACCATTTTATCGTACTTAGATCACATTGCTAATAGAAGGATATACCATTTTAAATCCAAGTCAGAATCCTTGAAACATTTTGTGCATATCCAGAGATTGGAGCTGTTAATCTTGAAACACAATGTATCATTTGGTAAGTTTTAACTAAAAGCTAGAAGCTATTACATAAGTGATGGACTCACATATTTAACTTCAATACCATACAGTTTTTGTCCAGACACTTCAGGAACAACAGAATTTCATTTAGAACAAAATCTACAAAATAATATCAATATGGCAAGTAATTTTTCGGAAAGGCAGATATTCATGTCAGGACTAAAATTGCATTCGACACCAGCAGTTCTGCAGAATAACCTAACAATAGACTACTACTCGGCAATCAACTTGTACACAGCTCGTTCTGTAGAAATTGGAATCAAAAAGTACAATTTCGACAGCATTACAAACATATTTCTGCTCCTCATCTTCTCTCTATATGAACTTAATCAGTCTAAATTTCCCTGCAAACTTACAATTATCTTAACAGTCGAAGCTAGTTGGCATCAAATTAAAATCCTCAACAATAATATCTCTAACTAGCAGCTGAAAATGAGTGCAGAAACACAAACATTCAACTAATCCAACGAATTCATCAATAGGCTCAACAAAAGGAACTACATCATTTACTCAATTGAGAAAACGCATCAACTTCACATCATCAGATAGCACAAAATAACTCGTCATTTAAATCAAAAACTGTCGATGATAAAAAATGAGCATCAAATATCGATTAACTCACCTCCAAGTTGCACTGTGTACACCAAACGATCGCCGAGCCCTAAAATCGTCAGCTACTAAAATTTAAAGTAAATTAAAAAAAAAAAAATCAAAATCGATAGCTACAGCGGAAAGCGATTTCGAATTGACACTTCAACTTCTTCCTTGAAATCTACCGCCAAAAAGTTTTCACCACTTTCTCTCTCTAGATTTATCTCTCTCTCACTATGACGTTACCTACAAGACTACAAAAGCTCTTCTATCAAGCTTAGCCTTTCGGCATATTTTTCTGTATATGACATGAAGAAATTTCTGTTTGTACTTTTTGGATTTCAGTTTTACGGACACAGTTACATGAGAAAAGGCTAACGCGATAGGTATTTATATGACGTATGAACTGGGTTACGTGGCATCCGAGTAAGTGACGACTTACACGTGTTTCGATATTAGTGGTGATATACGGGGATTAGTTTGGACGGGAGTTGTAGCTGATTTTGCTGGCGTTAAACTGCTTGCCACGTAAAGTACAAAATAGTGGGAATTAAAAAATTTTGAAGAGAAGAGCTTTTAATTTAATTATTTAAGGAGGGAATTGATTCCTCTTTCTGAACGAACAGCTCAGATGACTTGGAATTAATGGAATCTTTTGTTGCTCTATGTTGGGGTTCACACGAATTCACGTGAAAATCTATTAACTTCGTACATGATTAATGATTTTTTCGAATAATTTTTTTTATTACTTATGTCAAGCAAAATATGATCCTAGTAATATTATTTTAAGTGTAAATGGATTTTGTTGTTATTTTTAATTAGTTTTATGCATTGATCCTTGAACTCCCAATCTGCTCTTTCTTTACTTTCTTTCTTTTTTTTTTCTTTTTTTTTTTTTGGGGGGGGGGTTAGGGGGGGTTGGAGGAAGAGGGCACAAAGGAATTAATTTTCTTGCACAAACTATGATAACATAGCTAAATTAATAAATCAATTTTACGAATATTATCTTTCTTGATCTCACTAAAAAGATATGGTCGTCCTTTGGAATATTGACTCTTTGAAATTCGTACTTGTAGCTTTTATTTTTTATTTTTCGTCTTCTAGCACAGATTTGTTGGATCGTGTTATAAAAGGTTTAAATCTGTTTCTTTTCTCACTTGCTTTATTTTATGACTCTGTCAAGTGAACCATTTGGAATGGCTGTAGATCAACGGAGCTATTGTGCCTCCCCGTCGCCGAAAAATTATATTGTATAATTAAATAAAATTATTATTTTTATATATGTTATATGTTGAATTCTTTTGACTTTTCAGTGTGATTTATTTTTTTATATTTCGATATTCTTTAGTAAAATATTTGGCTCCGTCTCTGCTGTAGACTTTAGTGGTTCTTTTGGCTTTGGATAAAAGCACCGATATGATGTGTCAAATATTGTCCATGACCCAAAATAATATATTGTCCATGCAAACAATAAAAACAACTTGATGTTTAGTGTCATGAGGTGCTCTTTTATTCATATATTCGTTTTCTTTTTTCTTTATGTTATTGGAGGTATGTCAATATCAACCGAAATATAGTGACAGTTGTTTACACATTAAAAAGGTAGTTTATTTGCGCAGCGTGATTAGATTAGGTAGCAATTCTTTACATGTTTTCATTTCTTTCTCTTTTGTTTTTTTTTTTTTTTTTGGGTTATAAAAGAGTTTTAAATTTGTTAGGTGCCTCTATTTTCAATGAGTTAGAAGGTCGTGTTTCTTTCAATTCGTGAATATAAGATAGACTAGAAATTTTCAGAAACCACTATGTTTTAGTGATTATTAACTTGCTATAATTATCATTTACTAAACTACTTCCTAAAGCTATGTTTTCAGTTATTATAGACTGTATTCGATGTATTTTTGCTACTGTATTTATGAATACAGTAGCAAAACTCGGCGGAAAACAGGGGAGTCCAGCTAAGCAGAGAATGTATTCGACTGTATTCGTGAATACAGTAACGAAATTTGCAGAAAAAAAGGTCTTCGTCTGTTTAAAAACGGTAAGTGAATCAATTAACGCGATAGAATCCTAATATAACTCAACAAACTCAATTATAACACACAAAATTTGTATTTTCAGTTATAGAAAAGATTCTCACCCGAAAAATACCCCAAAAATAGAGCAATCTTCAGAGATTCAATCCATACTTTCTTTTTTAGTGGTATTTTTACTAAAATATTTTTTAGTGATATCTTTACAAATAGATTTATATATTGAAATTATACAATTACATTGAATACAGTTAAATACATAAAAATACATTGAATACATGAAGTATAGCAGGTCCTCTATAGTGCAAAAACATATGAATACATACTGCAGATACATTTAAAAACATATATACATCTGAATATATAAATTATATTAATCAAAAAAACGTATGAATACATTCATGAAAAACAGCGAGACAGTGAATACAATGAAATACATGAAATACAACGAGATACATTGAAATACAATTTTAAAAAAAAAAAAGGTAACAGGCTCTTCAAGTTCCTCAACCCCAAACTCCGTCCCCGATCCACCGTTATCCAGGTCGCCGCCATGTGGGGCGTCGCCGCCAGTTAAATGAAGACAGTTGTTGAAGAAGCACCAATTTAAAGGATCAAACGGAAACTAGACACAGAACTTCTTCAGATCTAACAAGGCAAACATGAAAAATCAATGCAAAATCTAAGAAAAATTTAGAATGTGTAACACAACTGTGTGAAAGAAATCGCCGGTCGGAGGAGGGGGCTAGGAGTGACACAACAAGGAAGGGGGAAAGTGATAGCCGGCCGGATCTGTCGTTGGCGGAACACAGCCCCTACTAGGGTTTCTAAAAGCAGGGGAGTAAAAAATCGGGGGGAAAAGAGAAGAAAGAGAAAAGATAAAGGAGGAGAGAGTGAAGAGAGAGGGAGAGAGAAAAATAATATACAACGTATAAAATGGCTTAAAGGTAGGAAGTGACCATAAATAAATATTTTGCTATAAAAATCAAAAGGTAGCTATAAGAGATAATTTTTTAAAAGGGTATTTATTTATAATAAATAAGGTATCAAGCTTTGCTATATGAGGTAAAATTTCCTTCTTTTTAGAAAGAATTACAAGAAAATACACATGACTTCCCACCATAACAAAAAATGGCCCATGTTTTTAAGTTTACCCAACCTAGCCCACATTGTACATATTTTGAAAGCACTAGCAAATTCAAAATCTATGTTCTTACAACCATTGCTTCTAAAAGCTATGGAGTTAAATCTTTGTTCTCACAAACATTGCTTTCACTCTCCCTTCTTCTCACATCCTCTACACATGCTACAAGGGGTCGTCTACCATTGCTGCTTCTTACCCTGTGTCACCTAGTTGCAATGTAAGAAAATTGAAGAGTAGAAGTCCACCATTGAAGGCCATTCAAAGCTTTGCTTTCGAAAATAGGATTTTTTTAGTTTGTTAGTTGTTTGGATTGGGTGTTGTTCCAATTGATTGAAAATATCAAAAGGATTTCAAAATTTAAATTTGGAGTAGATTTGAGCAAGATTTGAGTTAAATTTTAGAAAAGACGCAAAGAAAAAGACGAAGTCAGTTTTTTGTATAATTATGTATAATCTTGTATAATAGTGTATATGAGTGTATAAACGCATCTTAAAATAGCACGGGCTAGCTAGTTTTCGGACTGGTCATTCAAAAATAGCCAGCGTTTGCAGAGTCATTGAAAAATAGCCATTATTTTGCTGCAACAGGGACCGGTCCAGCATAATATACTAGAGATCAGTACACTTGTATATGAACTTCCAGCATATTATGCTGGAACTCCAACACGCGGAAAGTTCCAGCATAATATACTGGAGATTGGAGCACCTGTGTATGAACTTCCAGCATATTATACTGGACCGATATATTATACTGGAACTCCAGTATATTATGCAGGAGCTCCAGTATACTTATGTTGGAACTCCATTATAATATGTTGGAGTTTCAGTATACTTATGCTGGAACTCCAGTATATTATGCTGGAATATTTTTTGTATTTTGAACAGTGTTCTCGTTTAGATTAATCTAACATAATAAGTGGCTAAATTTCGATTACTATTGAAACTGTGGCTATTTTTGAATGACCGCTTGTAAATCTGGCTACTTTTGAATTTCTCCCTATACACTATTATACACTTTACACCTTTATACAAGCGTCTGCAGACGAACTTCTTCCACGATTTTCAGTTGCAATTCTTGTTCAAAAGCAGTCCAAATTTTCATTAAATGGATTCAAATTTTATATACAACCTCCTTATACTATTTCTAACAAATCTAAATAACACCCACTCTAAATTTCTCACAAAATCAAATTCGAAATTTAAACCCACATATTTAAGCTTGTTAAAAATCTAATTTTCACCATCCAAATGGATTTGGTTTGTTGAACTAATATTTGAGTCATTGTTTCGAAAATTAACTTAAAAACTTGAGTAATCCTTTTTAAAAATTAGATAGTAATTTCTAGAACCTATTGGAGTTGGATGTTGAATCTTAGCCTATTTTTTGGGCTAGTTGGTTGTAAATTGAAATATGGGCTATAAAATTAAAAAATAGACAGCCCAATTGTTCTTATGTGAAATTTTTCTTTCTTTTTAGGTGGCTATTATAGATATGACTAAACTCTATTGGTTTTAGTCCAGGGTTAGAATTTAACGTTCGGTTTGACTAAAGGGTAAAAAATACGGTATACCCATCTATATATAGAAACTCTTTACCCTATATTCCTAACTATTGAAAATACATAGTAAATCCAAATTATAATTACACCGTACACCTGCCTTACTAAAATACAGAATCTTACCCACTACTTTTAAGGGGATAAAATCCTTTAAATTTAGGCATAACTGTTGAAACGTGCATAGTTAAGTACATAATATTGGTAATATTGAGATTTACCTCTTTACTCTTAACATTCTATTCCTCTTCTCCACTAGAAGTCCTTTATTTTTTATCGAACAAGTTTTATATAATCCAATAAAAAACTTCATCAATTGTAATGAAAGATATACCGATCATGATTCAATATGGTGGAGTATGAAAAAGCGATAATTATGTGAATTTTTCTATTAACGTGGTTATTATTGATTTTGGTTGCAAATCGATTTTTTCTATTATGAGATTTTTTAAATTTGAATACAATAATCAACAAAATATATCATAATATTCTAATTTGGAATATAACATTCAACTATAATTACATACTACGATATTCTAATTTGAAATACAATATTCACAAAATTTAATATTCTAATCAATACTACTGTATTCAAATCAAAATTAAAGAAAAATCATAATTCTAACTAACGAATAAAACA